TGGGAACAAGAATAAACCCTTTTTGAGAACCCAGCGCCCACAAAAGGAGACTTTCTGTCACCAACTCTGAGCATTTTGGTGCAGCAGAGCAATGCTTTCTCCCTCCCGCGAAGAGTGGGAGAAAGGCGAAATGCACCTGAAGAATGCGGGAGGGGAGGGGGGTGCCGTGCACTGCGCCTATTTCGGGGGGCTTGCGCCACGCGGCGGCGCCGCTCGCCCCACTTGCGCGGCCGCGCCCCACTTGGCGCCTCGCGCCGGCGATCGAAGGCGCCCCCTCCCCCCCCCGGGCCACCGTCCCATGCTGCGCCACGTTTTCATAACCCCAGCGCCCCACGGACGTCGCTGCCTCGTTACCGCCCTCCCCCTACAGCGGCTCCAAGCGGGAGACACCGGGAGCTCCCGGCGGTGGAAGAAGTTTCGATACTAGCTCGATAGCTCGGTCGAATTCAGCCGCTGTCTGGGGAGGCTTCTAGCGGGCCGCTGCTCTGATCGCTAGTTCTCCGCGCTGATGTCTGATCAACACCAGACGTATGCCGGGGCAGTACCTTCACAAACCGGTCGCGGACCGCGCGATCTTTCCGTGTCCAACTCTCAGCCCTTACCCTTATTACATGCACTACACTACCACACGTGCCGGGAGACCGGTCGGGAGCTTAGAGCTTGTCTCGGCTGGGGCTGTGCCGCTCTGGTGGGAGATTCCTGATTGAATGAAACCCAGCCAGTCGACTGGTGGATCGATACCGCATATCGCCATCCAGCGAGGGAGATCATCGCAAGCGATTGAGGAAGAAACTTACATTATACTTACGGGACTAATGACCGTGGCAGTTAACGCGCCAGGAATCACTAATCAGTAAGTCAATCGGCTTCCAGTTCTGACGACGGCGGATATTCGACGCTATCGAGATAACTCTGGAGAAGAATTCTCGCAGTCCACTACTCTGACCGGTAGTTTTCCGTGGTGTCGCCGATCAATACCAAGCGAATGCCGGGGCATTACCCTAATAAATGGAGCACGGACCGCGCGCGATCTTTTCTTGTTCGTCCTTGTCCCCTCCTCTCGCATTAAAGACGCATACTATACTGTCACCGACGTCCGGGGACCATTGTGGAGGTTAGATGTCCGGCCGGGGCACCGCCCCGCCGGGGGAGATATGTGGAGGGGGAAATCCCCGCAAGCTGATGAGTCGGAGCACCGGATCTCACCATCCAGCAGGGCAGGAACACTGCCACCTCCCGGGATTATACATTTACTACACTAACGGGAGTAATGAGCATAGCTGTTGACGCACTAGAAACTGTCAATCTTAACCTCAGCGGCGGAGGCAGGGGGGGGGGATGGCGACCGAAAGCCGCTCGAGTCGCGCTAGGACCAACCAAAGCCCCCTGCTTCCCGACTTCGTGTACACATCCTTCGCCGTGTGTGCTGCAGCTTTTGACACTTTTTTTCGAAAGATCTCGAATGTGCCATTAATTCATTCACACTCTCATCGTATGGTGTTCACGACGACATTCACCGCAGCGTATGCCTTTACATTGGCCTTCAATATTTCAATTATTTTCCTTTGGAACTCAGATTTTGTTTTCAGCCGCCTTTGCCGATATCCAGTATTCTTGTTCGGTTTCGGCTCACTCGGCTGAGCGCAGGTCGGCCTCGGCTTGGCCTTATCGAGCTGGCGCAACCCGACCGACCGCCTGACCACGACCATCGACTAAACATGCGATTTTGAAAACTTACAAACCTTGACCTATTTTGATTGGCACGATGTATTAATATTTAAAAAGTGCTATTCTTACACTACCAGTGGGGCTTGATCCGAATCGACCATCGAGCTAATTTATCTGTTCTTATGTCCAATGCCGAAAGCACAACAAGAATTTGCGTTCTTCCTGTTCGTCTGTAAGTCCTTACAATTCGATTATTTGTCGTATTTTGAAGCAAATTGATGTAATGTAGTTGCTGCCGCCGATCCGTCCAGAAGTAACCTTTTTATATCATGACTATGAAGAATACCTTTCGCACGCTGAATCGTGATTCAAATTGACGAACCGCAAACCTTCCGAATAAGACACTCAGTGCATTTTCCATTTTTCACCACATTAAAATTTGATAATGCGAGTGTGGTATTCGAAAAAAAGTATTGAAAGCAAACGAAAATCTAGCTCCGGGTACGGCGTGGCGTCTCAATCGTCAGAGCGCCACAGTTGCGAATCATCAACTTCCCGTCGATATCTTCGTCTTCGAGGAAATAAATGGCGTTCTGTCCTGTCCTGGCTCGACAGCCCGCTTCGGGTCTTGGCCGACCAGCGGTGGCCCAGCCTCTCGGCCATGGTGTAAGCCTAAAAGGGATTCGTGAGATTAGCACCCCTTCACGGTATATATACCTTTCTAATCGTCCCACAGCAACAGATACTGGGACATTCAAAAGGAATGCGCACAGTTATAATTGTGACCCGACCGGGAAACGAATCCGGGTTTGCGCTGTGGAAAGCGAGCTCGCTAACCAACGACTCACCGACGGCCTAAAGGCCCTGATAACAACAAAATAACAATTTAGTTGCAAGACTTCAGTCTTACAGTTCACTAGTTACCTCTTCTTTACCACTTTGAAGTTATTACTTCGCTCGGTTCATTATTATTATTATTATTATTTGCTGTTTCTGTTCGTTTTAAGCAGCTAAAGTGGGTTTTTGGTGATGTAGCGGTACCTACAGAGGTGATCAGTAGCGCATTCGATTCCTCCCGAGAGGCCAAGTCGATTGACATAGTTCTTAGTCGATTCTCTCTAGGGTAATGTGGAGAATTGTAGAAAAATACTGTTTTAATGGTTTCAATACACCTATGAGAATGCGTGGTTGAAACACTGTGAATTAATGTACTGTCTTTCCGCCGTTTACATGAATCGTTACGACTTTATTGACCCGATTGCTGATCATCAACCCTAAAACGCGTTTTGGGAGACTAACTTCTTGGCTGCCCGGGAAACGCCGTGTTCTAGGCACAGATGACATCTAGCTATTGCCTTCGGCCGCGGAAGCGAATCGCGTTTTGGGGGAGTTTTAAAGCCACTCACGGAGGAAAGCAAATTCTATTGTTCTCGACAAGACGCGTCGGTTGGCCCTATTTCTATCATAATTTTTTAACGATATTTTTGTAGATTTCTAGAAAAGACGTGTTTTAAGGAATTTTAGCCCATACAGTGCTGAAACGCCATGTATTACTATACTGCCTTTCCGGTTTAACGTGAATTCTATATATGATTTATTATATTGACTTTAGTTGCATCTACTAATGTAATGAATCACGGAATTTTAAAAAGGTACTTTATCATATATCTCTTTTTTGAGGATAGAAGGGCCAGATAGCTTTCGTGTTTTTAAAATGTATTTTTACTGCGCACCTTCGTAACACACAAAGTTGTCAACATGACAGCACCTGCCGCTGCTCGAAGCTAGTTATCTACTCATGTCCTACGTTCAAGAACGAAGTAAACGCATCGGTACCTCGCGCAATGCATCGCTCTCGAACGCTAGGCACGCGTGAAATGAACTTCTTCGCCTTTAGATAGGTGAGTTCGTTATCTTACTGTGGAATATTGAAGAGGGGGAATTACTTTTCTGTGATACCTTCTTCTGTTCTACTTTAAAACTAGTGGTTATAAAACAATAAGTACTTTTTCGCCCTTGCTCGCATGCAAAATTACGCGAAAAGAACTAATAAAATTTGCTCAAGACTTTATTTCAAAATCTATCTATAAGGAACAGATTTTATTTAGGGAAAAAACTCTGTCTTTGTAATTGTAGTTGTAGGAAGACGTCGAAAAAATTTTAAATGTTTGCAATTTCCGAAAAATCAGAGATTTTAACAGAAATGAGACCTGCACCTGCTTAAACTCCCTTCACACTATCCAACAACGCAATTTTATCAAAAACAATAGAGCCATTCTTTAGAAAATTTTGATTATCTCCTTGGGGCTTCATGTAAAGTACTCCCAAAATTAAAATATCGGTTTCAAATTCAAGGTGCCGCGACTTCAGCCAGATCGATTGGGGAATATCGGTTTTGGAGAAAATGATATTGCGGCTGAATGGTTTAGCCGCTAGCGTTGTTCACGGACGGACGGACAGACGTTTTGCAATCAATCGACTTCTCGGTGTGAAGAGCCCACAAAACAAGGATTCTGGCTACACCACGTGTTAGAAGAGTTTTTCTACATAGAGCATCTGTATTTATCCACTTTTACGTTACTAGAGCCCTGAAATAAGATCTTTTCTACCGAAATTTCCCCGTTTTTTCGGGCAGCATTACATAACTTTCTTTTCACTTCGTAGCGAGCAAGTGAAAATTTAGCCTTAAATACCTCACGCTGGGGGAGGAACAAATGAAACGAGTCGATTGAGAGTGAGATTAATAGTTTTGCATATTTTTCCGTGATTAATTTTTCTGGAGAGCGTGCCGCCGTAGACACCTCGAAGGGCAACCTTCACTCTCTGTTTCTGATTGGCGATTCCGGGCGCGTCAACTGCTGAGGTCATTAGCCCGGTGCGTGTGATGCGCGTTCTGTCGCGGGAGGTGGAAGTGATCTCCCCCCGCTGAGTGGCGAGATCCGGCGGCTCGCGTGGACTTCGCCCCAGCAGACGTCTCCCACCAGCGTGCATCGCCCCACGGACGGGTCATTGTGTAAGTAGGAGTAAGATAGGGCAGGGAAGAGGGAGAAAAGATCGCGCTCGGTCCGTGGCCCGATTGTTAGGGTATTCTTCCGGCATCCCCCCGCTGTTGATCGGAGAAACCGGTCTCTACAATTATCCTCCACACAGGCGCTGAATTCCACCCAGCTATGTAGTCAGTGCCGAATATCCTGCCGTCGCCGGGAATCAAACCTAGGGCCTCTCGTTCGGAGGCGCTGTACCGACATCGATTGATACCCTGAGCCACATTTGTCGGCGATTCTATTGATATTTATCTGAGAGTATGATCATTACTTCTTCTCTTTTTTCAGGTTCACTAGATTTAGTTCAACGCCTTAGGCTCTTCAGGAAATTGCCCATTCACAATGGCTGTGTTAATTCTCTGTGCTGGAACGAGACTGGAGAATACTTGTTGTCTGGGTCAGATGATCAACATTTAGTAGTAACTCATGGTTACAAGTATAGGGTAAGAAGTAAAAATGTGGAAGATTTTTCGAATATTTTGTCTTATATTTGTTTACATCTGTTAAGTTTTTGTAATTTCTGTTTGCAGGTATTAAGTAATTACAAAACTAGTCATCGAGCAAATATTTTTAGTGCAAAATTTTTGCCAGCTTGTGGAGATACAAGTATAATATCATGTTCAGGAGATGGTATAATTTTGTATACAGGTTAATAATTATTACACAATTCAATATTATGGTACTTTGTCAACCTAGTTACAATATTTGCTACTTCTGGAAAGTGTTAACATTTTATTCTTCTTATGCAATGTATTAAGTTGTACACTTGCACTTTCAATCCAATATATTTGTAGGAAATAAGAGGATCATAATTCTAATTAACTTATTCTTTTTTCACGTAAAAGAAAGCAGATTAAATTGTATTTCAATGTTCCAGATTTACTGAGGAAAGAAGATACTCATTTCAATCAATTCAATTGTCATTCTGGCACCACCTATGAAGTTATTACTGTTCCAAATGACCCTAATTCATTTCTAAGCTGTGGAGAGGATGGTACTGTGCGTTGGTTTGATTTGCGCATTAAAAACAAATGTACCAAGCCTCATTGTAAAGAGGTACATTTCAATAGCTTCAATATAATGGAACAATATATCAGGAATTAATATTAACAAAATATTCTTTTTTCAGGATATTATGATCACATGCCCAAGGGCAGTGACTTCATTATCTATCAGCCCACTAGTCCCATATCATTTAGCAATAGGGTGTTCTGACAGTACTGTTCGTATGTTTGACAGGCGGATGTTGACAACTAAAGCAACAGGTATTATGCCAAGTAATACTCCTTTTGTCCTTAATGAGAGTAAGGCTGTTGGTTTGGTTTGGTTTTATTTAAATAAATTCATTGTATTTGTCTAAAGAAATGTTCTGTATTCTTCAATGTTACTAAAAGTAACATTGTCATGGACATAATTTAGAACGTACGTATGATGCAAATTGCACTGTTGTGACCTTATAAAATCAGACCATGTGCAAGCATCTCGCGCGCGCGCGCACACACACACTCACGCACACACGCTCGCACACACACACACAGATACACACACACGCGCACACACACTGATACACACACACGCACACACACACACACTGATACACACACGCGCGCGCACACTGATACACACTTGGGCAACTCATTAAACCCCTAAGACAATATTCCTTAGTAAACAAAATATTATAATATTAGAGTAATTTCCTGTTTGTGACTGGGAAAACTGTAATGACTATGGCTCCACCATAATATTTTGGTCTCTTACTGGCCACAAGAGAGGAAGTAAATGCCCTTATTTTAATGCTTCTAATTCGATTCAGGAGGACCTGACTCGGGCCCTGCCATGAGGCCAATGTGCTCATTCACAGTGCCAAGCTTTGGGGACCGATCTTATCGCATTACCTCCCTTTGCTTCAGTCCAGAAGGTGATGAACTCCTTGTGAGTTATTCATCAGATCATCTGTACCTATTTAATGTGAAGGTAATGTTTATTTTTCATTGATTTTGTTTCTGTGTTCATATATTTGTTATTGTGGTGATTGTAGTTAATGTCTTCAGGAAACTTATGTTTGTGGTTTGAATTTAAACTATCTTCATTGCAAGTAATACGACTGAAACTAGATGTACACTGTATTATCTAATAACTGCAATTAAAATTCATGAGGTAATAATAAATGTTTTTAATGACCAACTTTTTACAGAATTATAATGAACAAGTACCTAGCAAGTAGGATAATAAATTTTCTTTATATCAACAAGTAATGTTTCTACTATTATTTTTTCTTCCTTGCATATTGGCGTAAAATTGTTTTAAAATGCTAATTATAAAATACAATACAAAATTGTTTCAAAACCTTAATTACACAATTCAACAGATTTCAAATCAACTGTGACTTTCAATTGAACAATATGTTTTTCTGAAATGTGTTATTTCACATTTTCATTATAAAAATATGATTGCCAACTTTTCTCTTCTATTGATCACTCTAAAAGACAAAATCTTCAGCTTTCCAGAAAAATGTATTTCACAACAAAAAAAACAACACACACACATAATCACTTATGAAATATAATTGAAAATATTAAAAGTTTGTTTAGAAGAACTTAAACTCTTGTGATTATGATTTTAGGAGGAAAGTGTTATGAAACTTAATTCAGATCCTTCTTCAAACCTTGCTAACCAAGAGAAAGAAAAACGATCTCGCTCACCCCCACCAGTGAGAAGACTGCGACTCAGAGGTGACTGGTCGGATACGGGCCCTGACGCACGGCCAGAGAGGGAAGGAAGTAGTCCAGGAGGTAGGTCCTATTGCACAGCCTTGCTAGAAGAGCTACTCTTGTACTACACATATCACTACTACAGCTTTTATTTGTCTTAGCCATAATTACTAATAGTTTTAGTACCACATGTTAATTTATGAGGTATTAATCATTTGAATGTATACACAAAAAATGTAGTACATAATATTTTGACATAACACACTTCAAATAGGTTTTTTAATTTTTTTTTCCATTTTGTATTAGAGACCTACATATCCTAAATTTTGTTCTAGATGTTGCTCAAGCAAGACCCACTCTGCATGCAACATTGATGCAGCGCATGACAGATGTTCTTACGAGAATGTTGAATGACCCTGCAACACGAGCTGCTCTTAGTGGAGGGGGTGAGGACTCTCTAGAAAGAGAAGATGCCAATGTGCGGCCACCCTCTCAAAACAACACATCGCCCAGTACAGAGTCTGATTCAGCACAGCCACCAGAACCTTTAGAAAGTGCCACGACTGTGTTGACCGTCTCTCCCATTTCTGTGCCTCAAATGTCGTCACTTTCTTTAAACTCGTCTGAAAGAGATGGAAACTCTTCTGCTGTGTCTGATAGGGATGAAGAGACTGCAACAATGAATGCATCTGTGAGTGGTTCGAACGTGTTGGATCTGAGGTGTGTGCAGTGTGGGGCAGGGTCATCAGACAACGAGTGTGAACAGTCGGGTGCCTGCAGCAGTGCGTTACCTGGGTCTGGGGAGTGCGGATGTGCTCCTTCTGTAGAAGCTGATCCAAGTGCAAATCAAATTCAAGAGACTGAAGAGGAGGCAATGACAAGAGGAGAGAGTGATATGTGTGGTTCTTCGTATCAACCTCGAATGAACTTCATCCAAAGAAAAATTAGCAGTTTGCAAGATAAATTATCTACATTGAGAGAAGGCTTCATTGAAAGGTAGGACATAAAAATTAAACAGAGATATCATTTTGTCAATATCCTTAACTTAAAATTATTTCTCAATCTTACTTTTATTGTGTATAGTAAAGTCACCTGAGCCAATCTGAAGTTTAAGTAAAAATCATAGGCAAACGTGTAGTTTTGCCGAGTTGAATATAAAATCAAATTTAAAAATGAATTTCACAACCTGAAATGAAATTGAACTAGAATTTTCCACACTGCCAATTTTTTAGTTCACAAAATACTAAGCAACTCATATTCTTCATTTATTGTATAATTATTTAATGTAAATATTAAATAATTTTGCCCTAAATTCTTCACTTACTTTTACTAACAAACTGGACTTGATTTATGATGTAATCATTTATAATCTAAATTTGTTCATTTTTAAATTATAACATCATATTTATTCCATGTACTATCTGTGAAGAAATTTAAATTGTAGATATATTACTAAAAATGTTAAAGCAAAAAGAATAAAATTGCTTATCACTTTAATGAAGGAGGTCAATTTGCAAGAATGTTTGTTTGCTTTTGGTGTGTGTGTTTTGGTTTTAGTTTTTAAAAATCATGTGAACATGTAAGTCTATCCTGCTATCTAAGACTCTATGCTGATTCTATCATGATTCTATGTATCATGGATACTTATTCTGCAAGACTTGTTTCTATTCTCCAATTAAAATATAAGTGAAATTGAGTCTGATCAGCTACAATGATATTATCCATTCGGGAGCTTCAATTTCAAAACTTCAGTCAGAAAAAAGCTCCCAGGATGATAGCCATCTGATCAGGCATCAATTCCACCTATATTTTCATAAGAGAATAGGGAGGGCTAGGCACTCCCTGTTATGCTAGTGGAAGCATTTCACAAATATTGAAGAATTACTAAATGTATTGTTTTCACCCTCAATTTATTTTAAGGCATGGTAGTGAACCAGCTGTACGACTCATGTACTCAGAGAAAAGTTCTTCAAATGCCACAATATCTCTTGGAGTGGCAGATGAAGTGAGTCGAAACTTGCATTCAGATAGCAGGCCTTCTGTTTCTACAACAGGTTCAACTAACAATGAGGGTAAGAATTTTATTGTTTTGTTTAACTTGGATTTAAATCAGAAGGTCTTTCAAATGTTTTTGTGCATATGTCTGTTGCGGGGGTAGGTGAAAATCTTCAAGGACTGGATAACCCTTACTACCACCATGTGAGATTTTTACTCTCTCAAGCCAAACTCCCCTTCTCCACCCTTCTCACAGAATCTCCTACAGCAGGATTGCCGACTTTTTTGGTTCATCAACCCCTTTTAAAAGAATTGTAGGCTCCATTACTTTGTTGTATTATTCATAATCACTATACAATGAATTGCACATATATGTCTTAAAGATAACAAAATTTTAAATCAATATTTTGGTGAATATCTGGATTTTCAGTAAAGATGCTTCTACATCTGAGTAGCTGAGTTTCTAATCTTGATTGTAGTGCAATAGTTACAGAATTTTGAGTGTTTTTGAAGTGGACATAATATTTCTCCAGTGTTTATGGTAGGAAGTATTTCCTTCTGAGATAGAATATACTTTATATAGAGTTTCCTAAACATTCTAAGCAGTAGCTAGGTTCTCAGATCTCTGATGCAGGAAGTCAAAATGGGGCCCCTACCTGCAATTAAACATCAAATTAAGACTGATTAACATCAAATTAAGAGTTGTTAATCTAATTGATATAATAATATGTCTGGAGCAATGGAAAATAAGCATGAAGTGCAATCTATTTTATTCCTCGGCAATATCCGTTCACAGGGGTCCTTATTAAGGGCCCCTTACTGCAGGGAACCGTGCGGTGCATCAGTTGCACCAGCGTAACTATGCCCTTGATGCTAAGGATGAATGATGGATACAAAAGAAGAGAAACGAATTCGTAATATTTTTATTATTATTTAGGATAGTTCGACAGCCAGTGGTTGATATTTTCGTCTTTTCTCTGCTAATGTTGATATTAGCTTTTCATCTGAAGGAGCTGCTACTACGACAATCATAGCTGTTTTCGCTGATTTATCTAACAGTACAATATCAGGTCTGTTTGCGTCAACCGTTCTGTCGGTTATAATTGTCGTGTCCCATAGAATACGCGCCTGATGGTTACTGATGACTTGTTCAGGCTTACATTTATAATATGGCTGTTCCTGTTCAACTATATGGCATTTCTTTGCAAGCGCTTGGTGAACTACTTTCGCTGCATTATTATGCCGTTGCAAGTATTCAGTCTGAGCCAAGTACGGGCAACCACTGCATATATGCTGGATAGACTCATTTGTACTTCTGCATAATCGGCATTTGCTATCATGTTGGCCCAAGATACATTTTGGATATGCTCTGGTCTTTATCACCTGGTCCTGAATAGAGAAGAGAAAATCCTCAGTTTCACAATAGAGTCCCGCTGTTCGCAGCCATTCTGTGGACCATCTCAGATCAATTTCATCAGATGTCAATCACATGTTGCTCTAACCCGGCCATGCAATTCCCTCGTCTTCCAGATATGAATTCTATCATTCCTTGTCAAGTGGAGGAACTCTCTGTTCTCTTGGGCTAGACTTAATGGACTGATATTTTTATCTTGCGTGCATATTGCATTATGGATTGGGATGTCCATTGAAAGAAAATACTGACGGAGCTTTTCTTCCTGCTGACGACATAGTGTCTGTAAACTAAGCAATCCTCTGCCTGCATCGTTTCGAGATAGATATAACCTCTGTGTCGAACTATGAGGATAGTGAAGTCGATGCTTGGTAAGTGTCGTTCTGAGTTTTCTGTCAAAGGCTTGGAGAGAAGTATCCGTCCATTTTATCACTCCAAAGGAGTACGTAGCTACAGGGATGGGGCATGTGTTTATTGCAGAAATTTTGTTTCTTGAGTTGATATTCGTCTCACAGATCTTATTAACTCTGGCTACCACTTTCTTTTGTATCCTGTTTCGGGCATTTGAGTCAGTTATTTCCAATAGTTGCCACATCCCTAGATATTTGTAAGAGTCTTCGTTTCCATGGTTTTGAATAACGGTGTCCCTGGAGAGTTGTAATTCTCCTTCCTGATTTTGGATTTTTCCACGTTTTACATGCAACGTCGCACATTTATCCAAGCCAAACTCCATGCAGATATCATTGCTGAAGTTTTGGACAATCACCATTTCACTCTGTAATTGATATTTATTAGATGCATATAATTTAAGGTCATCCATATAAAACTGGTGTGATATGCGAACATCTGGGTTTCTCTTTATACGACATCCATATCTAGTTTCTCACATCATTCTACTCAGTGGAATTAGAGAGATGCAGAGCCAAAGACGGCTCAAACTGTCGCCCTGAAACATACCTCGCCGAATCCTAATTTCCCAGGTCACATAGGAGTAACGACCTTGCCTAACGTGTAAAGAAGTCTTCCATTCAGACATACACACAGAGAAAAAAAATATTATTGCCGGGTCAATCTTATAGATATCTAGTATACGCAAAAGCCATGAATGAGGCACAGAATCAAAAACGTTTTTATAGTGTACCCACCCCACAAATATATCATGAAGTCTTTTACGGACTTGTTGTGTAACTATACTATATATAACCAATAGTTCTTTGCATCCTCTGGTTCCCTTATTACAACCATTTTGCTCATGAGATAAAATATTTTGGTCTACGAGATGTTCATTAATTTTAGAAGAAATAATAGCAGTCAAAATTTTGTATAACGTTGACAAGCATGTAATTGGCCGGTAGTTCTTGGGTTGGAGACTGTCTCCTGATTTGGCCATCATAAATGTCTTACCCATCAACAGATATTTAGGGAGGTTGGATGGATATTTCAAGGTATCGTTAAAAAGTCTAGCTATGTGCGGGTGGAGAGCCGTAAAGTATTTCCACCAAACATTATGAATTCCATCTAGGCCAGGTTTGTGTCTTCTTTATAACTGTTCTCACATCGTCTTTGGTAATCATTACTGTTGGCATTTCATTTACATATCGGCACGCTTCGATTTCATTATGAAGCCAGAATGCTTGCTCATTGTGTTGGCGAGGTACTGCCCATATCTCGGACCAGAATTGAACCGTATCATTCTCACACGGTGGTTGACTCCTCAGTTCCTCCCCATCGCCATCTCCCAGTTGTCTGTAGAATTTCTTCTGCCTGACTGACTGTTCTTCTGATTGATTCCTGTTAGCGTGTTTATGCTTTATTGTACCGCTAATTCTCGCTCCTAGAGCCGCAATTCTCTGTTTAAGTCTCTCATCTTCTTTTAGCTTTTGATCTAGATTTTTGGATTTCATTTTAACTTTCAGTCTCCTAACTATTGACTTAATTCCCGTTTTCACTTTCTCAGAAATGTCTCCCCTCTTTGCAAAATACTGCGTTAAATGACCAATATCTCTTCCAGCCTTGTTGATTTTGTCCTGGATTCGTTTCTTCCATAATGGTATATTGTTGGATTTTAATGCGAAAGAAGTTACCGACCTTTTGTTTTTATTTCGATATCTCTCCCATACTCCTACAAACGACTAAGGCAGAACTATGCATTTCTCCAGCTAGTTCCTCCAGAGAATTAGGTGTGAGTCAGGTCTTCTAAGATGGCATTCATTACTCTACAAGCATCGTAAAACTTCTTATCTCTCGTACTTTTTGGTATCCGCGGTCGAAGACCAAGGGGTGTACCTTGGTACAGAATATTATACTTCTGATAATTTTCTTTCAGATTACTGACAAAAGCATCCTCATCATGTCTTGGAGTTGCTTGCTGGACTTCAACTTCAGGTTCCCCCACCGAGTGATGTCTCCAGTTCCTCAACCTGCGCTTCAGTTTGCTGTGTCGCATTTCATTACTATTATTATTATTATTATTATTATTATTATTATTATTATTATTATTATTATTATTATTACTATTACTATTAGTATTAGTATTAGCAACCCCGAGCGCAGATAGCCTACGCGCCAGACGCAGTTCATCTTACGTACGTCATACCTGTAGAGGTGCTCAAACTGGCGATCCATGGGGCAAAGTAGATGTAACAACCGAAACTATCAGCTTCTTGTTCTCAAGCCCAGGGCTTCAATTGTTCGACGTTAACCTAATCAACGTTGCATTTATCTCCGACACTTTCTTGCAGACATAATTAGGAGGACTCTAAAGAACAGACGTGTATCGATCATAATGCAGGAAAGTCGTGATAGAATTTCGTGATAACTGGTAATCGACTGTGAGTGTATGTTTCTGTTCTCTTATTCTCTTGCAAGTCACCACAATTCGGTCGTATTTACCAATTCCGGCAACCAGAGGTTTAGTTACAAATTTCGCTGTCAATCTATTTTTGTGTGTCAGGACCGACAAAACACGGGTTCTGGTTACTCCTCGTGTTAGCGTTTTCTTTCTTTTTTTCTTTTTTTTTTCCCTCTCTAAATTTAGCTACTGGATTATTCCACTATTTTCTTACCACGACCTGGCAATTACAGTTTTTGTGTCGGAAAAACACATAAAGAAGTGGTGTAGGTCACATTTAAGTTGCATCCTAAATTTTTTGCAAATTGTAAAAGTTCAAAACTTTTTCGGCAACTTCCTACAACATGATTAGAGTTCGATCTTTTTACTTTCTCGCTGGTGCTTACGAGAAAGAAGACGAATTTTCGACAGAAAAACTCTCGTTGCAGGGCCCTGGTAAGGAAAGAAACTGGATACATCTTTTTTCTTATATGTTTTAAATTACTTCCTCTACCACGATGGGTAGTCAGAATTCACGTTTACAAGATCCTTGAATCGAGAAATCAATTGACTGCAAAACGTCTGTCCGTGTGTCCGCTCGTGTGTGAACAACGCCAGCTGCTATACTCTCAGCAGGATATTTACGAGAATTGATTTTCCGTGTTCGATATATCGATGCCGCGGACCTAGAATTTAAATCGAAAATTTTGATTTTGGGGTGTACTTTACATAAAGCCTCAACATTTTGAAAAAAATCTCAAATATTGCACCACATTTCTTAATTAAACTTTCCTCTCAGGTAGCGTAAAACACACTTAAGAGAATAGTGAAAGTATAATATTCGTTGAATTCCTTGATTTTTCGAAACTTACACAAGTGTAATTTTGGGCGGGCGCATTCCTACAACTACAATATTGAAGATAGATATTTTTACTTAATGAAATATGTTCCATAAAGACATCTTGAAATAATATCCTATATAATTTTTCGATAATTTAAGAAGTTTTCGAATGAACGTATTATTTTTTATAAAGATAATTTTTTAAACATTTTTTTTTCTTGAAAGTCGCTCCAAATTTAATATTTAAATTTTCATTTTGTGGTTCTTTGTTTTTCTTTTTTCACGTTTTCTCAATTTTTCAGATCCCTAATCGTAGAATTACAATTGAGTTCGCTGTCCTGTATGTACATTTTCATTGCAAAATTTAACGCCATTTTAAGAAAATGTACGTTTCTGATATGCGCATTTTGAAGCTCATTCTCATTCAAAACTTCGATTTTTCGAGAAAGTTCATAAGAAATAATTTTAAGCAATTGTATACAATAGCGAAACTAATGTATAAGAAATTCCTGTAATGCCAATATTAACATGACATTTAAATAAAATTACTTTTATTACTTTACAAAAACAAAAGAATAATTAAAGTAGCATCTATGTCATGTTAATTGGCTACCAGTACCAACAATTTTTAAAAACTAGGGGTGCTACAGAATGTCTCAGACTTTCCCGAATTAGTTTTCTATTTTCTTTGCGTTCTGCTAGCCACATACTCTTGCCAGCTGTCATCTATCGCCGCCCAAAGTAAAGCTTTTTTTTTTTTTTTTGTTTTAATTTTCTTAATTTTTTGGTTTCCTAATAGTAGAATGAAAGTATTATTTTAAGAATATTAAAGACCAGTAAAACTTCGCCCAAAATGGCAATTTTTCTTTAAAAAATTTGGAGCCGTTTTTAAGAAAATTGCGTTTAAGCGCTATTGTATATTCGAAATTTGAAGCATTCTTTACAGAAAATTTTTGACTTTTCGAAAATTTAATTTAAAGTAATTGTAAATACTTTCACTCAAAAATACAATTGTTTTTATGAATGCCAAGAAATGTGCATATCAGTGGCGTAGAGAGAGCTTTCAACAAATTTACATTTGTGTAATTTTTGGAAAAAAAAATATATACACCGAAATGAACTTCACGTCATATTAAAGAGTGCAATTATCACTATTCATACGAAATTTTTGAAAACAATTTGGAGCCGTTTTTGAGAAAATAGCATTTGAGTGTTTCTGAAAATGCGGAATTTTTATCTTTTCACAGAAAAGGTTGAGTTTTCGAGAAAATTTATGACATTATTTAAAGCATATGTACTTGTAAATACAGTAATGTAAACAAATTGCTGCTAACATAAATATTAACAACATGATATACAAGTTTAAAAAATTACATTTTTATATTTTTTTGAAAAAACAAAAGAATGTTTCTTCAACTTGGAAAAAAACCTACGCATGGTTTAGGCCCTAGTAGTGTTCACAGACACCAGACAGGACGTTTCGAAAAAGAACACATTTTCGGTATCAGGGGACCCTAAAACATGTATTTCCTTTGAAATCTTGAAATCTATTTTATGCAGCATTACATAACTTTCCATATACTAAGTAGAATACTCCGTATACGGGCAAGTAAAAATTTGTAGTGATTTTCGATAAAATTGCATTTGAGTTTTTCTAAAACTGAATTTCAAGCTGATTTTCAGAGAAAACTTTTGAATTTCAAGAAAATTTATAAGACGTCATTTGAGACACTTGTAACCAAAAATGCAATGATGTATACAAATCGCTGATTATTTAAATATAAACGAGTGAAAGAGCAAAAAAATTACAAAAGCAAATAACGTTAGGTGTCATCTTACGAAGTGCGTTTATCACTATCCTCACAACAAGTGTGAAGAAAATCTTTGAGCCGTTTCGAAGAAAATCTTGTTTGTAAAAACTTTTAATTGCCTATATTTCACCCAAAATTATGTGAAAACTGCAAACATTTTCCAGAAAATGTCCTAACAATATTTAAAGAACTAATTCTGGAGAACAAATTTATTTTTGTCCAAAATTTTTAGAAACAAATATACTATATCTTCAATATTGAAGTTGTAAGAAAAAAATCTTCAGTGTTGAAGTTGGAAAATTCAGAGTTAAGAATGCCAATCGTGCCCATGCCATCTTTAAAAGTGTATTTTATTATATTGTTACAAAAATTTGGAGAAAATCTCTTGTCAATAATGTGCTAAATGACAATCTTTTGCATTTTTTCTTTTTTTTTAAGGGTTAACCATGAAAATTAGACTTATCCAATCATTATAAGTGTAGTTTACTGAATTCTTACAAGAAATTTGGAGCCATTTGTGAAAACATTTTCAAAATGTCTCGGGGACTTCATGTGAAGTACCTTAAAATTTAAAGAAATATTTTCAAAATTGCAGAGCTTAAGTCGGGCTAGATTGATAGCGCATTTTGGAAGAAAAAAACTACTAGTTTCTGGGGCTAGTGACACACGGAAGGGTGAACAGTCGTTTTGCCGTAAGCCGTTTTTTCGGTATCAAGAACCCATAAAACATAGATTCTGACTCGCAACGTGTTAGAGGAAGTTATTTACATTATAAGGGAAAGGGATTATCCATTTCGTCAGTATTAAGGACGTACGATACGATTTTTTCTGTGAGAAAATCGCTGTTTTTCGGCACGGTATTACAGGATTCTCTGTAGGACGTAAGTAGTATGGCAGAAGTGAAAGTAAAACTGGTATTTACTTGTTTGACTAATCTTTCAAACAGTATTTTTATTGCAATGATGGCAACTAAATGTGCAAATTTTTAAAACTAACCGTCTTTTTAATTTAAAAAAAGGTTTTTAATTGTGTATTTGAGGGCAAGTATTTGTGTTTCAATTCTAATCGTATTTTTAAATTCCACAATTAAAATTTCATTTTGTCATTGTTGTAGATACAAATGTATTAACAGCTTCCGGGAGTGGTCAAGGGACTTTGCCTGATGAACAAGAACCACAGCCTGGTCCCAGCACTGTACAATGTGCAACTGGAGTTCAGAAACAAAGTTAGTTGATGTATCAGTTGTGAAGTTTAACACCAAAATGTCTAGATTGTGATTTTATAGTTTACTTTTATCTTAATTCATAGGTAACTTCAACAAAGAAAGATATTCTGACAGTGATGATGATGAGGAGGATGATAATGATAGCATTGTCAATGATCATTGCTATCTGTTATCAAAAAATAATTTCTCAAAAGCAAGAGGGTAAATCAATATTGAGAATTTTTATATCTTATTTGTTACTTCTCAGGATGTCCACATTTTGTATCTGAAATGTTCAATGTGCAGGTATGTTCATCCCATTGAAGAACACATGGAAGATGCTATAAATGCAGCACGAGGGGAGAAAAAATCTCTTGTTGAAGACAAAGACAGTTATCATCCCCTTATAAAACAAAAATTCACAGGGCACCGGAATGCAAGGTAAAATATAAATAAAATAATTGTAAAGTTTCGTCATTTTTATTATTGTTAAACAGCAGAAATAACATTTTTATGAAAATATGAAATTTTGAGTTAGTATCCCTTTATTATCCCCATTTTTCTTTTATATTCTTTATTTCTACATTTTATTCTAACATCTATAGTTTGCGTGTTAGTATTTAATGTTGCTTTAATTAGTCTTTTGCCTTTAATTATGGTTCAGTGTTTGTCAAATTCATGTGCAAATGTGGTAGAAATTATTACTTCAAATTGTCTATTTTTTCTTTTCAGGACAATGATTAAAGAAGCAACATTTTGGGGCAATAACTTTGTCCTCTCTGGTTCTGATTGTGGACATGTTTTCATTTGGGACAGATTTACAGGATCTTTAGTTATGCTTCTGGAAGCTGATCGCCATGTTGTTAATTGCTTACAACCACATCCAATACTTCCATTACTTGCAACATCAGGCATTGATTATGATGTGAAATTATGGGCTCCTTTACATGAAGAGCCTAGTTTTGACAAGGATTTGGCTGATGTGGTGAGTAACTTTTAGTTATATCATCACTGTGTAATTCTTGTGCACTGAAGACATGCATAGAAAATAGAACTAGGGGGGCTACAACAGTACATGCTTCTGACATTATTTGTAACTTATACAATTTTCAAAAATTTAGAGAGTTCAAAGGAACTGAGTCCTTTGTTCCCTTTTTAAGTGTTTTTAAGTGTTGCTCTACCGGATGGAAAGAATTAACAAATAAATTTGAAGTAGTTTTTGAGAAAATCTTGGATTTAAAAATGCCTTTAATTCATGCAAAATTACAGACAAATTAATCATATTTTGAAGAAAAAAATATACCTGACCTCATGTAAAGATCAAATTAGGAAAATCTTCTAAAATAATCTTTCATTGAAATTGAAGTAGTAAGAAGACGCCAAAAAAATTTGAAATTGTTGCAATTTTCAGCCAGTTAAACGCTGATGAGAAAATTCAGTTAAACGCAAACCAGAGCAATGTCATTTGTATGTTATCTACTTTGAAACGTTTGAGAAAAAATGTAAACCAAAAACTTGGAGCCATTTTTGAGAAAATTTTGAAAATGTTTCTTATAAGTACCCCCAAAAATAAAATTATCCTTTCAAATTCAAGGGCTCACAACATTGGTGAGATTGGGGAATATCAATTGTGATGAAAATCCTGCTTGTGGTTTAGTTGCTTGCATTATTTACAGACGAATGGATAGCCAGACAAACAGATGGGCAGATGTTTTGCTGTACAACTGTTTTACCCTCCCAAAACGTGGATTCACTACATGTTAGGGGAAGTTATTTCACTTAGAAACAAGAATTATCCTCCCCCCACCCTAAGAGTTTTTCTTTTGAAAAATCACGTTTTTTTTTTTTCTGCAGCATTCCAATGCTTTCCCTATATTATGTAAGTATTATGCGAGAAAGTAAAATGTCATCAATAATGTAGTTATAAGGTCCAAAAAATGTGAACTCAAACTATTTTAGATTTGAGAAGTTTTACTGGAAAAAGGACCTGTGCCATTTCTATAAGCATTCTAGACCCATATTTGCTCGATTTGTTTGTTTTGAAAAAGTTTTGATCATATTCTAGGAGTCTCATGTCAAATACTGCCAAATCTACTAATTCACATGCACACAACCCAGATCCACTAATTCATATTTACAGGGGCCTCCAGTGTGGCCAGTTCAATTGGAAAATTGAACCCCATAGACTACCCAAAGCAAAAAAAAAAGAACATTGTTTATGAAAGGAAAAAAAAAAACTTTTCTGCCAATTAAAGTTCAACCCCTTCCCTCTCCCATATATTTCGTAAAGAAGTATGATACTTATTTAGCATGGAAATTTCTACTTGAAATTATGTCTGCAGGAACTTCTATTAGTAATATTTTGGCCAGCTCTCACAAAATTCTCATCATCTCTTTGAAATAGAGGACATTTGAGTCCATCTTCCTGGGCCCATTTCAAAAGGAAAATTGATCTTTCTGCTGACAAGATAGTCAGGAGTTAATTCTTATATTTTGAATTTATATATTTCATTAATAATATCTGTGGAATGTATAGGGGAGTAGTGTAATCTGTACATGTTTTCTTGAGTTCCAGAATCTCTTCCCCACCCTTTAATCATAAATTAAAGAATCAACACAGCGAGTTTAGCAACATTCGAAAATTAGACCTCTTTCTAGAGTTTTAGAAAACATATTTGCATTACTTTAAACCTCCTGCTGCATTGTTTCCATGAATGTCATTGATGAAAATAACTCCTTTTACTACCTTGAAAAAGAAATCCCTGATTTTAAATAAATTTTTGAATGAATATTAAAGTATATGTGTAACAAATGTACATGCAAAACAAATAACACTTTCTAGTAATAAAGATAATAGAAAAGCTTAAGAAAGTAAAATTTTGGTTGACTGCGAAAGAAATGGAAACTTCACATTCAAAATATGAACATTTCTCTACAACTGCATAAAATATAATACAAAAGGTTTTGTAAACTTGTTTTGGAAAAAGAAGTCTGATACCTCGGACAATACAGAAATGCATTTCATAGGTCCATAATTATAGAAGTATTCTAAAACCATGCAAAAAAGAATTTTTTGCATGGTAACAAGATTGTTGTCTTGGCAACAATTTTGTTAATGGATATTATAAAATGATAAACTTCACATATACGGCTAGCAATGCACAGAAGTTGCCTTTTTTATGCAGTTAAAGAAAAATGTTATTTGATATCCATAATATTATTGTTCTAAAGCAGATGTTTTTATGATTGAAGGGGGTTGGGATTCAAACCATCTGCATAGCACTGAATAGTATGTACCTGAACTTACGTACAGAGTAGTTTGCAGGAGATAATAGAAATATACACCAGCTAAACATTTTAATCCATTACATATTTTCTGTATATATATATTTTTGCAATAAAGTGGATATAAACCTTTTTGACATGTATGTCGGTCCTGAAATTCTACTGAAATATCAGCTAATGTTTTTACAGTTGTAATACTGGTTTTGGCACCAATTTATTAATTTTGTTTTCTGTGTTCTATTCATTCTCTTCCTCATTTTGTTCTTGGGGCTGTTCTTCCTTTACTTCTTCATGTGTTTCTTCATTCACTTCTTGTTCATTTCCTTCTTTTTCTTCTGAAGGTTGAACACTTTCCTGGTCTTCTGCAGGTTCCTTATCACCTTCCTCTCCTTTTTCTTCTTCTTCCCCGGCTGCTGGTTCATCAATAATATCACCTAATTCATCATCTCCTATATCCAAATCTTCATCGTATAAAAGACCTTGATTAATTTCAGAGGCATCCTCTATTTTAGTTGGAAGTACTGGATGTTCTTTTACAGTATTTGAAGCTTCTTCCAATATTTCAAAAGCATCTTTCAACTCAATATCTAACTCTTTCCTTCGCTTCACACATTCCTGAACAAGGAAGTTCCAGTCAAAACCTCGTGTATATGGATGTGTTCCAATATACTTTAAAGCTTCTCGGGAAGCTACATCATAATCTTTACGAAAATGTGACTTCATGGCGTCAAGTTCTTCAAGATATTTCTGATTTGATTCTTCCTCGTGCACAATTGTTTCCTGCATTTCTGGAAACAATACCTGCAGATATTCCTCAAATATGTCGTATTTTTTGCGTAAACGGTCATCAATTTTCTTTTGTTTTGCTTCCTCTTGCTCACATTTTAATCTAAAAGGTGCTTCAGCAGCAATGATTGCACTTTTGTCCCATTGCAGTCTGTCCAGAAGTGTTTTTTTCATTTGAGCTGCACGTTCAAGTCGCCATCGTCCTCGTTGTTTGATGATAAAATCTAACTCTGGGAAAATTGGCAAAATTAACTGTTCAAATTCCTCTTCAAATTCTTCACATGTTTCCTGAGGCTCTGCAAGTACATTTTCGCCCTCAGACAGTTTTTCTGGTTCTTCAGGTTCTTCAGTTTCAGCAGCAGCTTCCTGAGGTGCTGCTTGTTGTGGAGGTGGTTGTTGTACTTGCTGTGTAGGTCTTGATTTTTCTGCAAACTTTTTTAAAAGGTCTTTTCTCTTTTTCTCTTTAATAAAAGCGTTTTCTAGCATAGAAATTTCTTCATCGTAGCCAAGTTCTGGAGACTTACAGTGCTGAGGTGGCACTTTATACACATGGAGTGCTCCATTATTGTCTCCCATTCCCATTATATTCTCAGTTAGTGGGAGAGAAGGATACACAAGACATGTCATTAGTTTTCCTGGTAATGTTTGCTCAAAAACTGCTTTGTCACTGTAAACAGATAGATCCCATGCTTCCAGAACACCATCACCTCTTACAAATATTATCATGGTTGGTCGATAAGCTGACCATCCACCAGTGTATATATTCACTGGGGCACGCTTCCATAACATTGGAACATCTCGCACATCGTCTCTCCAGATTGCAAATACTTTACCTCCAATTGTCAGAATGAGCTCTTTCACAAACGGAGAAGGCTGAACCACAACAATTGGACCATCATGAATACAAAGGCCAGCACCCTCAACTTCTGTCCTTTCAAAATTAACAACTTCATTTAAATTTCCTACTAATCCTTGCCAATGAAGTTTAAAAATTCTGCCATCCACAGAACCAACATTTACAACTTTTTCTGGCATTTCTTTTACAACCTCAGGGGAAACTAGGAAATGGTGTCTTTCTTGTTTGATCTCTGAAGAAGGACCAGTCGCAGAAACGTCACTGATTTGTGACTCCCTTTTAGCCTTTTCATCACTTCTAACACTGATAGTATCACCTTCTTCTTTAGTTTCTTCATTTATGCCTAATGAAGAGTCACTTTCAGATGGCGCAAGTTCTTGAGGTATATGTTGTACTGGACATTCAAGGAAAGACATTGAAGCAATAGGAACACAAACAGCTGGAAGATCTGCTTCCTCTTCGCTTTGTTCTGCTCCTTTCGTCTTTGGATCTTCCAACACAATTCGAAAATGAGGCCTAATAAATCTGTTAAGTTGCTGATACTCACTTTTTTCTAGTCCAGGAAGTCTCTTTCGCACTTTCCATTTTTTCTTTGGTTGGTAGGTTCCAGACCTTGCTGCTTGTTCTACTTTAAGATCCCAAAAATTCACACAACCATCTTCAGAACATGTTAAAAATTGTAGTGGTATATTTTCTGGATCAAATGGATCAGGTGTTGGAAAATGCCCTGTAGATGAGATAGTCCAATATGGTGTCAACCACTGAAAAGCAGTTATACATTTTGAAGGAGAAAATTCTATTGAAGATACTGCTGCAGGAGTAACTCGTGCAACATTTTTAACAATTTTCATCCATTGTAAATGATTACTCATTGCTACTCGATAATTTTCTTGATTTAAAGTTAGTTTTTCCTTTGTCTCAACAAGTTTGATACGATCTTTTAAGTCCCATAAAACAATTTGTCCATTTACAAGACCCCCAATTAAAATATTTTCATCATATGGACAAAATTTAAGACTATGCACTGGACGTGGACTGTCAAGGTAAAGTTTTGGTTTAAAACAATCGGTAAAACACCATATAAGAACAACATTAGGGTGATAAATGTCACTTAAAACCACATCCTTTTCATCTTTTTCATCTTTTGGGTCTCTTTCATATTTGTAAGGCAAAATTCGAACATCTTCTACATATGCACAAGCAGCCATACCTGTCATGGTGGGATGCCAGTCAATTGCAGTAATAACCATTCCTTTACTGCTTTCAACATGAATAAAAGATTCTAATTCTTTATAAACTACTGTTGATGGAGTTCGAGTATCTTTAATGTCAAATACTACACTTTCAAAATCATCATTTAGAATTTCCATTCCAGTATTATAAACCAACGTTCCTTCAATTAGATCCAATTGTGATTTTAAAAATTCTGCAATACTTTTAGCTAGTGGCCCATCCTGCAATGGAGTATCTGTATCAACTGAATACACGTACTGTGTCCCCATGTTTATTGGATAACTCAGTTCTGTTTGTGCTTCACGAGTTGCATGAACTGGTGATACTTGAACACCTGAATCAATGCATAGACGAACTACATTATGAAAAACTTGTTTGTTCATACCACTATTTGTTAATTCTATGTATCCATTTTTCATATCTTTTGGAGCCATGTCGTCAAATATTGGAGGATCAGTAGGTGAAAAATCTACTAGGGCCTCCTCTTGTACCATTGGTCGAGTGTTTTGTACTCTTGTTCCAACAATTTCGTTTTCACTTCCTAAAGTTTGCCAGAAACCAATAGATCTCCAGATTGAGTCTATAACTCTCTGTTTCTGTTCCTCTTCCAGATTTCGAATAATTGCCTCTACAGCTTCATGTGCATTAACATTTGATGCAAGGAAGAACAAATCCGGTTGATCTTCGAAGTCTGGATCGTACCTAAAATCATTGAGATAGTATTTACATTCACAAACTTTAACAAATATTTACGTTTTTTTATATAAGTAAATAAAATAAATAATTGTTTTGGTACCCAATACACAATTCTTAATACATTGATCCATGAACCTCTTGCATCCCCATAAACTAAATTTTCTTCAAGAAATGGAAATAAACATGGTTGATTGAATATTCAGAATTCATTGCTTTTTCTCTTTTCTGTGAGACACCATCTCTGATTCCAAGAAGAAAAGGAAAACCTATGATAAGAAGAAAAGTGTTGTGATGATAGAAATGTTCCAAACTTATTGAATTCAGTATATGTTTTTTAGTTTTTAGCATGTATTGATACTTTTTCTTTGGAAAAGAAAATTCAATTCAATTTTAATTTATTAAAATCATTTTATTAAAAATTAATGAAAGAAAAAAAAACTTGTAAGACAACAGGAAATCACACGCTATACTGTGAATCATAATAAATCAAAGCTAAAATTGTTACTAATCTTCTAAAATTTTCTTAATATTCATGTTAATTTTTTATGAGAATTACAATTTTTTTTTAAAAATAATGAAAAGACTGTATACAAAAATTTAACAACTACTTATAAATAATCATAGTCGTGAGCACAGGAGTACTAGGGTGGCTATGGCCTCCTTGAAAATTTGGAAAGAGCGGTACTTGCATTCATAGCGCAATGTAATAAAACTTTTTAATGTCTTATTTTCTCCTTTAATAGTTTTTAATTTTAATTTAGGAAATTGATACATGACTTTTGGGAAAGAAGCTCTCCACACCATCTGCTAACCCTGAAAAAGGATCAACATAATATCAATTGTATTCATTGTTTTATTAAAGTTGTATTTTAATTCTCCTTCTATTATGTTTTATTTGTTTAGTAGTAAAACATATTATGCAAATAAAAAAAGTAATGGAAAAGGGGCTGAGAAATGTAGTTGGCCTCTGCCTACTTTTAGGCTAAGCAAGTCTAAGTAAATAACTGTCGGTCATAAAAGAGACGGAAGTGTACCAATCCCAAAAAAATCGTCACATAAAAAGCCTTTTGTAGATTTACAGAGTGGAATAGAGAGCAAGTACTGAATTCTGGAATCATTTACGATTGCTTTTAAAAATGCACTACGAATATCTTTAACATGGATTAATTCTGAATAAGTATCATGAACTACAAAGTGCTACTAATGCAACGAAAGTGTACGACGCATTTAATCAGCAGTTTCATGCTGAGATTAAGTAAATGGGTGAAGGCTGGCGTAGTGGCTCGCGTATTTCACTTGAGAGTAAAGCGGCAGAGGAAATGTCCGTACCCCAGGTACATGCGAGGCTGCGGGAAAGCCTTAATTTCCTCCGACAAATGGCTGAAAATTGAATCTTCTCCGTTCTCTTCCAAATCGTCCAGAAGATCGAATTTCGAAATTAGCATCCAGGGCATATCTGGCACGAGTGTGTCTCCGATTTCAATGCCTATCTTTTTTTGGAGTTCCTCGGGTATTTGTAAGGGCACAACTCCCGGAATTCCTTCAACCGTCGACACAGCTCTAGATGTGCGTTCACTGATGCGACTTTTCTTCCTTCTTGATTTCTTCCTTTCCTTCTCCTGCGTTTTCGGGGCCATCTTGACAGGCTAATAGATGAGAAATGGAAGTCACAGCTATGCGATGGACACCGGAATTAAAACTCCGTAAATTCAACAGCGATGCATAAACTGTCCCGATCGTTTCACACTTTCTTTGAATAGCGGTCAACAAAATATCACCCTTCGTACATTCAGCGTCACAAGCATTCGTTGAAGAAAAATTAAACAATAATGTATTGTTTTCGGGACATGTGGCAGAAAAAAGTCGCGAAAGCAAAGCGCAATAATTAGCCCAAATGCTGGTGACGGAAGGCGAGAAAGTCCCTAAGTTTTCAAACTTGGCATATAACTTGGTTTTGAAAGTATGACGTTGGTTACTTTCTGCTCGTTTTAGGCATACAACTAAAAATGTTGACGTATGCCCGGTGTGTCTATTAATTGCAAGTTCAATACTTTCTGCGACTTTTCCTGAGGGGAGCGCCGCCTAGAGGCCAAAGTGGAGCGTTTTCCTCGGAGTGCTTCACGCAAACGGCTGGAAGTCGTTGGGCCTACTCCTTCATGACCTGCTGGCTAACTCGTGCTGCTCTACGCCCTTAAAAATCATCAAAACAGTGAGCAAAACCTTCAAATTTGATCGGTTTTGACACGCTTTTTTGGACTTTGCTCTTCAGGAAGCTTATATTTGGACGAATGAGCCTTTGCCTCGACGTCGTACCCGTACACCTATGTTTCTTCATCAGTTATGACCCGGTTCTGGATTGTCATAGGCATCATTCAGCGTCTTCTGAGTAGAGTTCATTCGACACTCCTTGCCGAAGTTCAACAACTTGGGAACAAATTTTTGTCACTACATACATATAATGGGGCTTTCCCTAATTCCATAAACATTGTATCCCGTCGTCAAAAAATTGAGTGTCCTTCGTCATTGACACTCAGTTCCAGCATAGTCTTACATAAGACTGTGGTTTTAGTTGCCCCTCCACGTACGCGGTAAACGTGATTATTCCACGATTTTATTATATTTGACTTCATATATTGTTTTATCTAATTTATACATTGACACTGTATGCAAACCTGTGCCAAATACTTGTACTCGATTCTTATCAAATAAACTTTTGATGGTCAGTTTTCGAACCCGGGAGAGGTAATCCTTTTGACCCAACGATCTTGGGTACTCGCAAGTATGTACAAAATAAAATCTGATAATATGTAAATGTTCATGATTTTGAGCACGTGCACTGAAAACGTCCAAATGCATAATTTTGATAAATGTTAAACAGAAATAAAATTACTTCGTGCCTTGAACACAGTGGCGGTTGGTGCCCCAACAGACAAAGTTGCACTTCCATCGGATAACGGAAATGTAATTTCCAAAATTCAAAATACGAATAATAAAAATGTAAGCAATTCAAGTTAATAAATTAAAACTAAGTTAAATAAAAGACTATATTGTAACATCATATACTCATAAATACAATAATTAAAACAAATTGTATGCTATTGTACCGCTAATGTAAATATTAACGACGTGAAAGACAAGTCAAAAAATTACATTTTTGTAATTTTTGAAAGAAAAAAAGCATAGCGCAATATGGTGTTTTTGTCATCTCATAGTGTATATTTAGCACTATCCCTACCAAAAGTTCAAAGAAAAATTTGATGCCGTTTTTTGAGAAAGCTTGTTTTTTTTTTTGTTGTTTTTTTTTTTTAATTGCACATATTGCTCGCAATATTGCACGAAAACGTTTACAACTTTCAAGAAAATTTACATGATCTTAATGAAAGAACTAACTATGGACAACAATTTTCATTTGAAGAAAAAATATTTATCTTCAATTTGGTAGTTGTATGCCGACGTCGAAAAAATTCAATTTTTTGAAATTTTTCGAAAATTCAAAGTTAACAGTGATAAACGAACTTGTGGTTCCTTTATAAAGTGTATTTTATTCTATTCTTACAAGAAATGTAATTAAATATTTTTGAGCCTTTTTTTTTTTTCAGAAAATTTTGAAGATGTCCCGGGGCTTTATGTAAAGTACCCCCAAATTGTAACCAACGTTTTTTAAAATCTCAAAGATTCGACTCGAGGCAGATGGATTGGGATTTCTTCATCTTGGAAACAATCCTACGCATGGTATAGGCTCTAGTGGTATTCACAGACAGATGGACGTTTTGAAAAGAACCACTTTTTGAGTATCAGGGGCCCCAAAACGTGTTTGTGAAATCTCGAAAGAGATTTGCCGCAGCATTACATACCTTTCCCAACACTACGTATAAACGTGTGTATATGAGCAAGAAAAAAAAACGAAGAAAAACATATTTAAACAATCTCTACGTCCGGCTCCTCCCTCCCAACACACACACATCTGGATTTCATTTAGTGTAATGTGCGGTAGGCACCAGCGAACAATCATGCCAAGTTTCAAAACTCTGGGATTTTTTCACTCCGTTTGTCTTGTACTGAGCGTACCAATAACATGAAGAACATCGCGAACAGGACCTCAGATTGGATGGAAAAGCAATCGTGCGTGTGGATGCGCATCCTGAAGGTAATTAGTAGTTTTCGCGCAATATGTGCAATATTTAAATATATCAAGAATAGAAATTCCTCCAAACGTTTTCTCTAAACGTTTGGTAGCGAGAGTGCTCAATATACTCAGTAAGATAGTATTAACGCCATTTTACTCTATGCGTTTATTTCTTGAAAAATTACACAATTGTAATTATTTTGACGTCTGAAGTCGTTAATATTAACATTATGTGCTATTTCTATACATTATTAAATTTATTAAAACAGGTGTCTCAAATGTAGTCTCATAACGTTTCTCGAAAACTCAAGAGATTTTTGTGAAAACGAGCTCGAATTTCCGCGTTTTCAGAAATGATCAACCGGTATTTTTTTCAAAATGGCTCCAAAGTTTTTGTACGAATAGTGCTAAATCTACTGTTTAAGATGACATAAAAGTAATTTAGCTGTAGTTTTTTGTTTTTGCAAAAGTTACGCAAATGTAATTTTTTAAATATTTCTCACGCCGTTAATATGAAAATTTTCGGTGATTTGTATACATTACTGCATTTGTGAGTGGAAGTTCTTCAAGTGACTTCCAATAACGTTTCTCCAAAACTCAAATGTTTTCTGCGTAAAAGAGCTTCAAATTTAGCATTTACAGAAACGCTTAAAAGAGATTTTCTTAAAAACAAAATTTCCAAATTTTTCGACAAAAATGTCCATATAAAACGAGGTTTTACTCATCTTGAACATTCTTAAAGTAATATTTCGGTTCTATGATTCGGAAACCAAAAAATTGGGATAAAAAAATTGGGGGCGACGAGGCAAAGACTTTCAATTAGTACTAAAATCGTATGTATCCATTACAAATAATGCAGGAAAGGAAGCATGTAAACAAACAGGTAGAATTTTTTCGAAAATGCCTAGTCGATCTGGCTCGACTCGATGCGCTGCGACATGAAGCCACAGGGACATTTTCAAAATTTACTCAAAAATGGCTCAAAATGTTTTCTTTAAATTTATTATAAGAATACTGCATTTATAAAGGTGGCATAGATCTGATTTTCATTGTTAACTCTGAATTTTCAAAAATTGCAAAATTTGAAATTTTTTGGGTGTCTTCCTACAACTAGAAACTTGAAGATAGAGATTTTTCCGTCAAGTAGAAGTTGTTCTTCACATTTAGTTCTTTCAATAAAGTTGTGTACATTTTTGGGAAACTTTTAATAGTTTTTGCGCAGTATTGCGTGTATGTGCAATTTTAAAAAGTTAAGAGAAAAGATTTTCTCAAAAACAGCTCCAAATTTTATCTGAAAACGTTTGGTAAGACTAGTGCTAAATGTACTCTATAAGATGACAAAAACGCCATTTTGCTGTATTCTTTTGTTTTTTAAATATATCTCACATCTTTAATATGCATAGTTCCAGCGATTTGTATACATTATTGAGTTTGTGAGTGGAAAAGCTTCAAATAACTTTTAATGAATGTTTTCGAAAACTCAAAAGATTTTTGTGAAAATGAGCTTCAAATTTTGCATTTACAGAAGCCTTTAAACAACATTTTCTTACAAACAGCTCCAAATGTTTCAACGAAAATGTCCATGTATGGCAAGTTTTTAATCTTCTTTAATGTTCTTAAATTAATATTTCAGTTCTGCCATTAAGAAACCAAGAAGAAATTTTTAGTTTATATTTTCTTCAACATTTCTCCAAGATCATGTTTTGTCAGTCAGTAATTATATGAACAAACAATATAAATTAAATAATCCAGATTTTGTTTTTAATGTGAAACTGTTAATGTTTTATTTTAATAGGAATCCATCTCCCCTGTATTTATTTTATTTATGTTTTTCACTCATTAGTATTTTTCTTATTTTATAGCTGACTAAAAGAAACGAAGTTATGCTTGAGGAAACAAAAGATACAATTACTGTTCCTGCTTCCTTCATGATTCGTATGTTAGCATGTCTTAATCAGATAAGGAGAGGTGGGTTCATACAAATTACTTGAAATTTTATTAACTTCCTAACATTATTTTCATGTACTAACAAATTATTTTTACAGGTGGGCGAAATAGGGCACGAAGTACAAGACGTCAAAATTATGATGATAATGTCAACAACTGACAAGTAATCAACTCAGACTGTTCAAAATGTTTTAATGTGTCTTTTTGTGATGAGTTATAAGCAAATAGTTTGTAAATCAATGGTTTAGATTGTATCTTTAAAATCTAAAATACAAGATTATACAGTTCTCATTATAAGAAGTTTGTGAAAAATTGTAGCTAAAAAACTGTACATAAAATTAAAAATTCAATTATTGATATTAACTTTACAATTGTTTTTCATATCAGTTCAGCACTCTCCTGAGCTGGAGAAGCTTTTTTTGTCTAAGAAATATGAAACAACATCCATTAACTGAATCACAGACTCCATCACATAATTTAAATGGTATTTTGTAAGTGAATACTTTATGCTTGTTCTATTTTTCAACGATGAAAAGGAAAGATGCTGCACCTACAATGCACATGATTTAGTCAAAGAAAAATGCAGAAACCTCTGTAAGATTATTTTCAGTGTTACAGCTCTAAAAGAAGTTAAATATCCTTTCCCTGTTATTGAAACACGCATTTGTTCTTATAAACATTTTATGGAATTGAGAATCTTAAATATTATCAAAAGAATTTATATAATTTTGTCAAAAGTTTTACCATACCCTACAATTAAATTCAAAATAATCAGACTGTTCATACTTTTTATGGTGCAAGATATTGAAATAGGTATCATTACGATTACCATATTTATCTGTGCAGTAGATTTGAATCTTGAAGATTAGAGTTCAGTAACACAACGCTATTTTTTCAAATTTTCATATTCCAGTAAACCTTATTGAAATATGAATGTACGTATTAATAAAACAAGAATGAATAATTTATTAGTATTTATAATATGCTTCTGAAATGTATTCATACTCATTACATCATTCTTATTGAGTCAGAACAATGATGAGTGGCTGTTTGTTCTGTAGTCCAGTAATACGTCCATTATCAAAAGGTCTGAGTATAGTTTTTAATCAAAATTTTCAAGTCAATCTTCAACAGGAAATTATGTTGGAGCCTGTGACAAAGCAGAGGTTATTTTGTGAATTACAGATACTTATAACTGCATTTAAAAATATATACAGTTATTTGTAAGTTTAGAATTTTTACAGGACTGTTTATATCTGAGAAGACAGTGCCTCTGATTGTTTAAAGTAGATTTTCTGTCAAGTGTAAAGTACATCATTATGCAAATGTGCATGAAGTGTCATAAACTATTTCAAAAATGTTTCAGGAATGTATTATTAATGTATAGTGCCTAATTTCCATAGGTACATATGAATACATAGGAATATTTTTTAATGCATGAAGCTCTTCTATGACTGCTCAACCCAGTCAATTTAAGTTGCAACAGATTATTATTCATTAGATGCTTCATCCTCATTTCACACTAAAACATGTTGTCAAATGTATTTTCCACTTTTAGAGGTAAACCAAAAGAATGTTTTAGATTGTTGAAAATCATCAATGTTTGCATTTTGTACTTTTAAAAATAAAGCATACAATTGTAAATACCTCAATTATAGGCAAAATGAACTGAAACATTTTCACTATATGTGATTTTGATTTTACAATTATTATGCTGCAGAATTTTCACTTTCTCATCTAAGTTCATAATTTTCTAGAAGAGTCATAAGTTCAAATTTGATGTAAAATATTTTCATGTCACTATTATTATGTATACTGTACATATTCTAATTTGGAATTTAATAAACTTAAAAAGCCCAGAAATCAATTTATTAAAAAATACTTCAGCAATTCATGTGAGAATGAAGAATAGGTACACGGAAGTGGAGTTCGAAGGGAAAACCAGTAAAGAGAAGATGAACAAGATTATCCTGTAATAATGACATTTAAAAACCTACAGGACACTGTGATATTACCTTTTATATCTATTGCAATTGTTATTACAACTGATTAATACCTTTGATTTTAACCTGACATTCCTTATTAATACATTTTAAAAGATGTAAATTGCAAAATAGGAGGAAGTGGGACAGATTCATACACAGAAAATTTAAATAGTTTATCTTATGCAACAAAAATAAATTAAATATTAATTTTTTCATGTAATTCTTCTAATTAGTATTATAATTGCAATCAAAAGAGTTATGAAAGTTAAAAAATAATGAGAATATATTGATTTGAGTAAAATATGAGTTGTGAGTCATTCTGCTCCACCTATGGGGCACTTTAAACACAATGCACACTTTGTCTGAGAAGAATCATTATTTACCTTTAATGGAATAGAAGCAACTTTTATTGCGAGATGTAATGATTCTTAAAATTATTGCCTTATAATATCCACGACATAACATGTAAATCCATTAAAAAAACTAAATTAAAAAAAAGTAGGAACTTTCTGAAGATAATAAAAATATTGTAATTTACACAAAATTCTAATAAAAATTACATAACAAAATTCTAATTATATATCATTATCTTCTATTGCATAATTCTATCCACTTAAGCCAATAAAAAAGTAAGTGATTTTCAAGATCTTTCTTTGAGAAATTTGGTTTGTGGTTTGGCAATTTCAAAACATCATTGAAATCAATTTTCCCCTTACAACTAGGAGAAAAAATTATGGATCTTGGCATCTTCCTCAGATATTACATTTGATAACAAACTATATTATTCTATATAAATCAATAAGAAATCAACATTGTATTTTCAGGATTGTGATCATCAACATTAATATCTTCATATTCTGGACCAGATGCAAGTTCAAAATCTTCATCATCACTATTTCTCAATTGCACTTATACTCTGTTACTCAATTGTCCCACTGGTATTGAATTCAGATTGTGATTGAGATCATCTCTTCTTGGATTTTTTGTTTTCTGTTAACTTCTTTCCTTCCTTGCCTTCAACTATTTTGTTTTCTGCTTCATTTTAACTTGCTGCTTACCTTCTTCTCCATGCATTCTCTGTAATTATCTTTTTCGGGTGTATCAAGGTCAATGGCTGGTCGTCCGAAGTAGACTGTGTAATAGGTCTCAATTGTACCAGTAGTGGCTCGTGCTTAGGTAAGTACCCAAAATTTTTTTTAAAAAAATCTCATAATATGTTAAGATAAACATTTTTCATTTAATGGCATTCAATATTCAAGATATTACAGCAATACCAAAGTGCTCACTCCAGCGGGTCTCGTGCGCTTTCAGGCAGTGCGCCATGTCCCATCGTGGAAAGAGATGTGTAGGCCAGTAGGGCAGCGAAATGAGTGTGGTCCCGCCCACAGAGCTTTTACCCGGGCCTCCTTTATAAAAGTGTATACTATACACGAGTAGTATTTATGGCGAACTCTGAATTTTTGAAAATTTCAAAAGTTGGAATTTTTTCGGGGTTATCCTACAACTACAAAATTAAAGATGGAGATTTTTTTCTTGAAATAAAATTGTTTGCCCATAATTAGTTCTTTCATATCATATAAACTTTTTTTTTAATTTTAGCAGTTTTAGCGCAATATTGTGTGCAAATTGTGCAATTTTAAAAAATTACAAAAACAAGATTTTTTGAAAAACGGCTCCAAATATTTTGTTTAAACTTTTGGTAGGGATTGTGCTAAATGTACTCTCTAAGATGTACATAAACACCATATTGTGCTATTCTTTTTGTTTTTTCAAAAATTAAATTTTTTGTCTTGTCTCTCACGTCGTTAATATTTACATTAGCAGCAATTTGTTAACATTATTATATTTATGAGTATATGTGCTTTAAATATTGCCGTATAATGCTTCTCGAAAACTCAACCGTTTTCTGTCAAAACTAGCTCAAAATTTCGCAATTTCAGAAACGCACAGACGCCATTTTCTTAGAAACTGCTCCAAATTTTATCTTTAAACGTTTCGACCGGATAAAGCTAATTACACTCTTTAGTATGAGGTAAAGTTAGGTTGTTTGTTTTGTTCTTTTTTTCAAATATTACACAAATTTAATTCTTTTAGAAGATCTCCCACGCCTGTTTTGCACATTTCCAGCAATTTATAAACAAACACTTGTATTTGTGACTTAAAGTGCTCCAAATGAATTCAAAAATTGATAAACTTTCTGTGAGAAAGTGCATCAATTTTCGAATTTCTTTGGCGCTTAAGCGCAATTTTCTTCAAACTAGCTCGATTTTTTTTTAAAGAAAATTGCCATTTAGGTCCATGTTTTACTGTTGATATTTCCATTCTACTATTAGGAAATCGAAAAATTAAGAACATATGTTTCTAAATATACTTAGCGCTGCGATAGATGGCTGCAGACAAGAGTATGTGGCACGTTCAAATAGCTAGCTGAAACCAAGGGGAAATATATAATACCGGAAAGTCCATGCCATTCTGAAGCCCCACTAGTTTCTTCTTTACAGAGTTCATAAGAGGTGATTCATTGTACTTTATCCAACATTGGATCAAAAAGAAAACTGTTGAACAATGTCCGGGACTGACTGAACTTATTTTCGCGTAGTAGAACGTACTTCGCAGGCGTGTCAAGTTGCGCCCGCATTGTAACCTCAGCGCACCTCCCCCCTCCACCTCTATACCCACAAGCACTGCCAGGGCTCTTTTGGCATTGGAGACACGATAATTTCATGATACAGACAAGTGCATTTCTGTCCAGCTGTTTAAATCCAGCGGGAAGGCGCTAAACTGTTGCAGCAACTTGCTGAATGACACTGCAAAAGACAGATTATAAATCCTGAAGACATTGGACCCCTTGAAATTTTAATTAGACTTAACAAGTTGCAGATTAACCATTGTTGCTGGGACATAAATCACTGGTGGTTTAAGTAAAATATATTTTAATATACATTTAATATTGTTGACTTCCGATTAAATGAGATTATAAAAAGCTGTTCAAAAGAAAAAATATATTTTTCTGCTCAATCGTTTAAAAACGCAGAAAAGAATCGAGAAATTGGTGTTGAAGCATAAAAAAAGAAGGAAAAGGGGGCAAAATGTTGTAATCTCACGAAAACGTGCCAAAAGTAGCAGCAAATTGTGTATATTTCGCTTCATTTCATCCCACCCCCCCAAATTCCTATATTAAACTATCAGTATGAAAACAACTATATTTTTGAAAAGGTGCCGCACCTTAAAATCCTTACCCTCATTGGCGGAATTCAGGGGGGGGGGGAGTAACTGCCCCCTATCTTGGGACCAATTTTTAAAAAATGTATTGAGACATTTCATTTAGCGGATCTTCAAATTTATATATAAAAGATTTTTTTTGTACTGTGAGAAGAAATGTAATAATAATTAAGTGAACAATAGGCATATTTTAATAAGCTGGGCTAATATACATTAATAAATTGGTGAACTTTAGTTCAGTATTATATAATATTGAATATTCAGTATTATATAATATTATATAATATATATATTCATATTATCACCTTCTCCTCTATAATTACTTTGGATCTTACCAAAAACTTGAGATTGCATTTCAATTAAAAGAATTTATTAATACAGATTTTAAAATACGTATCCTACAATTTTGTATAAACAATAAACATTTTCGATATGATCCATTGAGAAAAATGCACTGTTGAATTTACAATTCGGACCAGTCAAACAACGAGTATAGATGTTTCTATAGATGTCACCTCCAGGTTGAACTAATCTAATTAATAATATTCCATTAAATAATTAATAAAATTGAAAAGTGTATATAATTTCAATACAATTAACTCAAAACATTCATATAAACGAATATTTTCATTTTCATATAGCGCCGAAATTTGTCCCCACCTCTCCTCAATGACAGATCGAAAATTCCGCCTCTGCTTTCCTCCTCTAAGGCAACACGTGACGAAATTTCCACTGCGGCCATTCCGCGTAGGCTGCGGATCTTCCGCGATTGCGAGAAAGTAAAAACGGCTTTTTTAGCGTCTTATGTGACAAGTTTTGATTTTTTTAACCAAATTACGCCTATGAATAATGATTTTAATTACTCTTACGATTTTGTATAGATGTTTCGAGATTTTTTTTTAGGCGGATTTTGACCTTTACAATAACAAAAAAGGAAGGTAAAAATATAAAAAATACATTTTCCTTCATATTTTAAGAATATGTCATGTTCTGACGCAAATCATACAAAGGACTCAATATAAATTAGCCCTGTAAATTCTCTAGTTTCTCAAACTGTCAAGCTCTCATGTATTTTATAATTTGCACCTGTCGGCTCAATTTTTAGAAAAACCTGTACTATACATTGTAAGATTATGTACATATCCTGACTTCATAAATGGCTTATGATGTATTTATATACAAATATATTATTTTTATTGTATAAAAAAAACAGTGATGTAATAGTTTATTTTCTTGAAATTAGATTTTGTTTTATTAACTTTCATAGTTTTTCTATTTTATCTATTAGAAAAGATAAATAATTAAAATCAAAACTGTAAGTATAATATTATAACAAAAAATAATGAGATTTATACTTATCTACCTTGCCAGAATATTTTCATTGCTTTGATTATTTAATAATACTCTTTTTTCTCTACTTTGCAACTTTCTTATGCACAACCTCCTGCACCATCTGAACAGATAAGGATCACAAAGAATATTTTAGGAAAGGTGATAAACAGTAGGTGGGAAAGACAATCAGGCCTCAACACACAAGTAAATGTTTATGCCTAAACAGGACTCGACCCCACATACCTCACTCGCCTGCATACCTTACATTAGCAACCATAGCTGATTGGACCAGCTATTAAATAATTGTTTTTTGTCATTTGTAAGAGCTAAAGTAACTATTCAAATAACTGGTATGTATTTTGCTACATGATTATTGGGTCATCACTTAGAATGTCAAAATCATTACGATCACTATAAAAATCTGTCTAATTATGATTTGATATTATTAATCAAAATGAAGTAATACAATAGAAGGGAGTCCAGCCATCCCCATGATTTGCATGTTGATTAGGGGCGCACATAATATTGCTTCGGTCTGACAAGAGGGAAAATGATTTTAGGACTTGCTGGCTGTTCATAATACACACAATGAAACTAATCATGTCTAATCGGTCTCCAATTGAAATCTGAGGCCCACTATTGAAAAATTCATCACTACAGCCAGAATTAAGTCTACAATAATAAGGATC